CTTTTTTGGACTGGAAGAAGTGCCTTTAGATCTCTTTTTTCTAAAAAAAAAATATGTTTGAAACCCAAACAAAGAGGACCTTCTGGGATTACTTCACAAGGTCCTTCCAGCATAGCGTTCCAAGATGTTTTCCTCGATCTGTCATCGTGAGGACAATATGTATTTCTATTTCTTCATTTTGTCCTTTGTATATACACTCCCTGGTTCTTTCAGTTCTTGGTCCATTATTTTCAAGGTTAAGGTTGGTTTGCTTTACTCCTGCATGGTTGATTTTAGTGTTGTTTAACTTTTTTCCCACCATTGAAGATTCTTTCTGACAATCCATGTTTTTGGGCTGTGAGCTGGCTGTTATATGGCAGGTTCTTATTCTTCTGAAATAGTTCAGCATTTCCAGATCCAAAAACATGCCAAGGCAGATCTGGGTAAAGGGAGAGGATAGAAGTTGCTTACGCACAAGTAAGCTAATGTGATCATCAAACATTCAACAGTATTTAAATGCCTAACGTTACAGAAGGAGATGTCGAACCCACAAAGAGGTATTCAACTGTGGGTTTTACAAGGAGGTATACAAGCTTTGAGGGTGTTTATGCACTCAGATCTACTCAATCAATGGTTTGATCATCGTTCTGAAACCAATTCGGACAAAGTCTTTGACAAAAAATGAAATTTTCTCAACTTTTTGTTGGCTTTTTTTTTTCCTATGAAACTTACATTCAGGTGTTGATAAAAAAATTATTTGTGATATACAGTATTGAATTTGCATATTGATAGAACAAAATATTCTAGGGGGCATGAAAGTTTTGTGAATATAATCAAAAATGCTAGTGCTGCTGGCAACTTTTTAAGAAAACACTGGTGGGGAAAGAGTTAATAAAGCACTTAGATTAATTTAGATCCATAAAGCATTTATGTCACCTCAAATCTCTCCTTTGCCTGTAACAACCTGTGACCATGCTCTTAGGTTGGGCTTGGCGTAACAAAGCTCTTTATTTCAGGTAAGTCTTTAATTTAGGTTATGGCTATAAACGTTAACTTTAACTAATTTGCTCAGCAAGAATAAACTTATAGTTCACTATGACAGTAGTTGACTAGAAAGAGAAAACTGACCATAAAAATACATTTACACTAATTCCAACCATAGCTTCCCTATTTTAAGAACATAATGCGTATTTGGTTTGGGTTATGAATGTGCTCTCTGTGAAGCAAGATGCGTTTGTGTTCACATATTTGCATACAGTATTACATGTTTCTCCCAAAAGGCAATATCCTAAATGGGATGGGATCTCATAACCTTATTTTTGACTCTTGATTCCAATACTGCTACCAACAAGATACTGAAATTCATAGTGCATGCAAATATTGGGTAAAATAGTTCATGCTTAATAACTGGAAGGGAGCTTGGGACTATTTATATTGGCTCTTAAAATTAAACATAAGCATATTCAAGTAGTTTTCTAAACGACGTTTGAGTTACAATTCTTTCCACTCGACGTCTGTGATTTCATGTACCGAGTCGGACGGGACTAACATCTCTGTGTTTAATACAGAGGTGGGAGCGTGTGTTTTCTAGACGTGGCCATTACAGAAGATCATATGCTGTGCTTGCATGCATCATGTATGACATGTATGTCTTAAAATGTATTATTTGTTAATATTATTTTAATTGATTATAAAACCCTATTTAAGTAAACTTCACGAGTTTTTAGCAGCGGCTGTTTATAATAAACTTGCCAAAGTGAGCAGAGAAATGTAGACAAGTAGGCCTATCTGACTCTACATGACACTGATATTAAAATGGGCAGTCTTCACAGTTTCCGCGATTTGGCTCTATTTGTTGATTGTGTATATTGTTTTTTCATCAGATACAATCCATATTGAAATGAAATTAAAGCATGCCTAAGATTGGTGTGGAAACGGTAGCTCAGGTACGTCAAAAACACATGAGGAGAAGCATCACAGACATTCGCATTTGGACAGGATTAGATTTCTCAGAGGACCGTTGAGTTTGGTGAAAAACAAGTAGGTTATTTGCCCTGGGAATTTTCACACAAAAAAAAACACTTGTTTGAGAAAAACACTGACCTGGCAGATAAAATCGCAAAGTGTGTCTGCGAAACATGAATTTCTCTAACGTCCCCTCAGAAAACTAGTCCCGTCTGAGGGTGTTCTGACCACCATCTTGGATTTATATTTTTCCTTTCTGTTTTTACCATAAACATTACATGGAAAGCTGCCTTTTTTGGCTCAAAAAAAATATTTATCAGGGTATCTAGCTTTTGGATTTGAAATGCTCTCTATGTAGCAGTTTTGGAGGGGAGTCTCTATTATCATATGTGATGACAAGACTACCTCTGAGTCAAAAGCAACTAAAATCTGTCTTCAAACATCCTCGCCATTAGCCCTCTGACAGCAGAATAATGTTTTTTAAATGTGTAAATGACTGCTTCATCCAGGACATCTGCACATCTATAGACAGTGATACAACAGATGCAAGAGGTGGAAGAAATCCACGAGTTAGCGATAATAATCTGTACGTTGTTGTATATAGAGTTAAAAACAAGTAAATATAATAACTGCTGAAGCTAAAGATGATTTTACAAAACTTTTATGACTCAAACCCATTAGCACCACAGACAGATAGCAATTGTATCTACATTTTAGCCTATGATTTTTTAATCATGTGTCACCTAGGCCAAAGTGCAAACACATAGACAAATATTTTTTTTTAAATAACTTGCCTAGGGAACATACCCCCATCCCCCACTCCCCAGAACTCGATTTCAACCGAGGGCCGACGGGTACAACCTGCACTGGGGCCCCGCATACCCGAAGCCTCGGCCCTGCCTGAAGCCATGCTTGCTTGTTTGTTTTTTTGCTGCATATATTTCTGGGTATTGCTGAATAGTTAACTTGGTTAACATTTGTTAAATGTCTTTTTCACATATTGAACTTTTTGTGTTCAACACTTCTTTAGAAAAAACATAATGAACTTGGCAGCGAAGATGCCAACACGAAGTGAGTCATTATTTTATCAATGCTTTTGCATGCAGACTCAAAAATTATATCTATCATTGCCAAATTTCCCTAAGAATGCCACATACATTTAAATAAAGGTCCACGAGTTATAAAGCTATAAACCATCTACTCATCCTTATTATAAAAATCAAAATAATTGCTGCTTCAATTCTTAATTATGGTAAGAAGACTTGCCAAAAAAGTGTGGACAACTGTTTACAGAACCTTTAATGTTGATAACCATTGATGCAAGAACAGATGGAGAAAGACAAAATCACATAAATCTTGCACAACCTATCAAAAGATTCCACGGCTAAATAAAATGACTATTAAGCTTAATAAACTGGTTGCTGTTTTCAACTAATTAGAATGAAACAGGCTTTCAAGCTTCAAAACAGGATGCAGAACTGACATAAAAGTATTATAAAAGTAGTTAATAAGACTTGTGCGCTGTATTCCTAGACTTCTGGGTAACGCTTCCTTTACAGTCCTGTTACCCATGTACATACTATGTACTTATTATGGTCATTACAATTACTGGTTAATAACTAGGTACTAACCCTGAACCTACCCCTAACCCATGTACTTACCTTATATTAGTCAGTACTTTCTAGGTAAGTACACTGTAAGTACACATAAGTACCGTACTGTAAAAGGAATCGTTACCGACTTCTGAATATGATGGCTTTGTGCACAGCACCAAAAATCACCAGAATTGTGCAATTGCACCATGATACATTATTAATCTTCACTCTAAACACTTCCATGTAAGAGAATCATCACAAACACAAGCAGATGATACCCCGAGGAATCAGAGTCTCTGGATAACACACGAGGGTGTAAAGCAGATCCACATACTTAGGAAAGTGTAATGTGGAGGACAGGTGTGTATTAGAACCCCGAAAGCTTGATAGTATTAATATCTGGAAAAGTAAATGTTTCAATAAACAAGTAAAAACAGAGCAATGAGTCACTTTACACCTACTTCTGACTCTCTGTGATTCAGTGCTATTCAAAACTCAATGCCAAACAATCAGAGTTTACTGTCCATACGCTGCCTTATCATCAGATATTTTTAATGCAACATCTCATGGCCACGTTGTGCATAACTTGTGCTTTCATTTTAAGAAAATCACTGTGTGGGTGACTGGTGGAAATGTTGCTTAATCTAAAGGGGTTTAAATGAAATGTACTGTTGTTATATATATATATATATATAGGTGTGTGTACATGTGTGTACAACATGCTGATTTCACTTTTTCCATGAAAAAATACATTAAACACACACTGACAGTTCTGACGGGGCATGTAATCACACTTTATGGGGTGTGTTGACACATTGAGAACCTGCTGTTTATTGATTGGAGAATAAAATTTTGTTAGTTGAAAAAATGTAAATAACATCTAAAAAGCAATACTGTCTGTATTTGTAACATGCTTTTATAATGCATTTTCAGCTAAATTTAAAACAGATCTGAAACATTTTAGTAAAACAAACACACAAAAAACTGCAAACAAAGTAATTTAACCATAGTTTGGCTAACAAAAATAGATATTAATAGATATTAATCTAAAAAAATAGATATAATTTATCAATATCAAAGTGTCATCTTGCCCCGACTGGACATCTGTGAGCAAACTCTAATCCTGAGAACAGTTCTGTCTGATTTGAGCTGGGAGATTTAACTAAATTAATAATTAAATGAATAAATTATATAGTTCAAAAATATGATGATATTAGAATTTCAACTTCATTCTGTTCAATAGAATAGAATTCACAAAAAATAATAATATGTAATTAAAGCGGTTTTTAAAACGAAAATACAAAACGCAAAACATTTTTTAAAATTAAATGTTTCACTGAAAACCTCACAGTCACTGAGATGTTGACAACTATCACATGGGGAAGTTGACATTTCACATGAGGAAGCTCTCCAATTGCACGTACAAAGTGACATTTGACACATATTTAAAGTACGAATTACCGTTTGTTAAAAGAAGACGGCCAGGACATTCTCGGTTTTTTCAGCCCTGGGCGGTGCTGCTCAGTGGCTTTGGTAGAGCACAGGTACCGCTCGTTGTCGGAGTGGTACCGCTGTTTGATTCGGATGTGGGTTCGGGGCTGCCTCCAAAGATGCTTAGGCGGTTTGGCCAAACCAGCACCTTCCCTGCTCAGCGCCGAGCACTCCATCAGTGCAGAAGTTCAGCTCCGTGTCTACTGTCCAAAGTCAGGAATTTTTAATTGTCGAAGTTTGCAGTCTCATATAGTTCCTCAACGTCAGAAGAGCTGTCCAGCGGTCAGTGGTGCTGAACCCGAGAACCGCTCGTCCGTTACGTGCAAGTTTATAAATTATACGGCAAATTAAACTCTCATTATATTAAAACAGCGTGTTTGCAGAAGCAAAGCTCTTTCAAGTTAACACTCGCTCAGTCACTCTCCGCATCGTTCAGAAGCAATAAAGGTGGTACGGATGGAGACGGAGTGAAACTGGGACATATGGCCGTCTCACAGCAAACAAAAAAGCGAAACGTCCAGCGTCGCGGCACATGCAGCTTGTATCCGGCTGAAGTGAACGAGAGAGTGCGCGCTGAGGCGGATATAAAGATCATGCAGAGCGACGCCATACAGATACGCCCAGTGTGCATTACATCACCAGGTGCTTTACACACTCCCAAACTGAGTACGCGCGTGTGTGTGTGTGTGTGTGTGCGTGCGTGCGTGTGTGTGCGTGCGTGCGTGTGTGTGTGTTTACAGTTTACAAGTTTTACAAGTTTACAGAGACTTTAAGTAGCTTAAAATTATATGGTCAGAATTTTACTAAAGGGAGATTGCATAATGCAAGAGAACAACGTTTCAAGCAGTTTTGTGAAATCTTAAACACACATTTATTTTCCGGCTCAACAATTACAAAAATGAAATTGTTGTGGGCTTATTGAAAATAAGGCTTGCATACAAGTTGAGGAGACACTATGCAACACACTGATTTGTATTAATCTTTCTAGTAATGTGACTGCATTTAATAATTGGGTTCTCATTTAATGTATGGTAGTGTGTTGTACCTTCTAGGAGTTTTTAGCTGGACCATGGGTCATTCACTGCTTCAAGCTGATTAAGAGTATTGAACAGCCGGTGGGACCACAATCAACCTGATAGACCTTGATCAATCTGGTTAGAGCTGGTAGACCACGTTCCAGTAACAAACCAGCTGCTATGTTCCAAAAACAAGCCTGACCACTTTATAAGCTGATATGACATGTTGTTTTTCCCCCCAGCAGGAACAAAACTAATCTGACAAGCTGTGGCAGCACAAAAGCTTTATAAGGTGTTCCAATAAAAAAAATAGCAAAAAGTGTTACTCTTTTGTTATTATGCTCACCAAAAAGTTAAATATATCATGTTAATGTGTTCTTAATAACATGCTGAATGTCTTGAACTTCTGTCTCTGTATTCATATGATCTCATTCCAAGTCATTGTGCCCTTTCACCAGATCAGTAAACAGAGTAGAAGCACCCGGGAGTTGTTCCCACCCTCTGCTCAAATCTCCATGACCTTTCTTTCATTTGCTTTCCCACGTCATTTTAACTAACAAGTGACTACATTAGATGGAGAAGAGGAAAGGTATTAGAAGTAACAGTGCCACAAAAAATCTGCCCGTATTGTAGCTACATTCCTTCATGTCATATAATACCTGTCAGATTAGATCTTTGTACATTTTCGGTTGACATTTAACACAAACACACTCACAGTGGTGCACACCATGCCGACTTATACAAATACAATAAGCATCATGATTGAACTGAGTCACATTTTGCTCACAGTGTCAGTAACTGCAAACTCAGTGTCCATTATGGAAACCTCTCTACACGTGACAGCAGCAATCTGTGTTTGATTTCTGAGGATGTGATTCAATCAACAGAGTTCTATAGAAGAATAGCTATGATCACATTTGATAGCATATTGCACACTTTTATCAGACACCTAAATCTACTTGGCTGACTCACTCTTTTTGGGCATCCACGCAGGCCAGGGCTGATTTATAAAGCGCTTCAAGGTCCTTTAATTTCTTTGCATCCAGGGTTGAGTGTCTGCGGGCCACAGGGGGAAGCAGCATTGGCCCAGAGAACCTGCGGCGAACGGCATTGTTGGTTTTGGACTGAAGCTCCAGTGGGTTGGAGACCAGGGAGTCTCTTCGTCTCTTGAGTAAAAAATAATCAATATTCAAGTCAGCCAAGCAAAATGTTTTACAGTGCAAATATAACATACCATATTTAACAACCACATACCATATTTTCCATGTCTACAGCTCACAGTAGGACAACTTCAGAACCACATCTTGATGATACTTTCAATTATCCATGAGTGAACTGCCAACACAAACGTAAAAATAAATGAACAAGAATTAGTTAGTTAGTTTTTTTTTTATTTGGGTCAACTTCAACAGAAAAGGGAAAAAAAGAAAAGAAAAACAATTTACAAACAAACATGGAAACAAAAAAATTGAATTACAATATAAACAATAATAAAAATAATAATAAAAATAAAAAATAAAAAAGTTGCTTGACCGAAAAGGTGCCGGCTGAAGCTTATGCTTATTGCGCCGATCCTTTTTACATTTGATTTATTTGACACACACGTGTGTATCGCGGACCAATAAAGAACGCGATACACACGTCTCCCCGACATCCTGTAGAATTCAACCAATCAGATCGCGACTTTGAAACTCCTGAAGTGTTTCCAGAAAAGTGTGCCATATGCATCAGACGTTCAGGCTGAGACTAATTTCACCCAGAATTGATAAGCTCTACAAAGAAAGACGTCTAAGGCAGGCTGAGTGTATTTGTACAGTGGTTGTTAAATAATGTTTATGCAGAAAAGAGATTGCTGAAAAAAATCAGATTGATGTTCAAATTAAACCAATCTGCTGAGCCACTGTCATTTTACTACATTAAAATGTAAGAAGTTTAATGCACTTTTTGATAAAGTATATGTAAATTAACTTTTCAGTATTCATCGACTATGAAATTACTGTTCAGTATTTAATACTTTTGTTGCACTTTTTAGGCAATATTATTTGTAACAGTCAAATATAGATAAAATATAGAATTTAACAAATTTTGTGCATTCAAAATAAAAACATAATTGATGTTTTCCGGCATTGTACAAATGTATTTGCAAAATGATTTACCCAACACAAGCGGGCCTACTGCTGAAAAATTTTGAGAACCACTGGGCAAGAGCAAGCGGCAACATTCTAATCTGAAAAATGAAGCCTACCCGGAAGTGCGAAAAACTGCAATACATCGGAAATCCGCTAGAGGGAGGTCCCAAAAGGGAGCAAATCTCCATAGACCTGCATGTTAAAATGTCAGTTTTCACAGCATATATTCATGTTTTTACAGGTTGGTCCCATGGACTTTTATTGTATTTTTTGATAGGTTCCGAGTGCCTGACTACTGTGAGGGGGGTGAATTTTTTTCTAACTCGGTAGTTTAGATCGTATTTAGATATAAAATGTATGACAAATAAGCGCGTGATTGACAGCTGATAACTGGCTGCGCCGAGTGGAATTCCTGAAATTTGACGTCTCGGCCATGATCTGACACAACACATCATACCACCTCTGTATCCTTTCTGAACATTTGTATTTGAAATATCGTAAGATTTTCCATGATGACACCGCCCATACCCCCCATAAACAGCCTCAAAACCGTTCTTCAGAAAGTCTATGGGTGACGTCACAGACGCTTTGTCCATATTTTTTACAGTCTATGGGCTAGAGTCAAAATTAAATGCTAGAATCAGACGGTCTAGTACAAGGGTGTCCAATCCTGCTCCTGGAGAGCCACTGTCCTGCAGAGTTTAACTCCAAACCATATTAAACCTGAACCAGCTAATCAATGTCTTACTAGGCATACTAGAAACTTACAGGCAGTGTGTTGTAGCTAAACTGTGCAGGACAGCGGCCCTCCAGGACCAACTTTGGACACCCCTCGTCTAGTAAGTGCACATGGCTACATCATAAATGTTTCCGCCCCGCTTTCAAGCTGCGAAAATACTATTAAAATTAAAATTTGAAAAACACTTTACATTAAAAATCTTCATTTCAACTGCCATTCTTTTAAAGGTAGGGTTTTTCAGAGAGGCTAGCAAAAGCAAGCTTGCTTTGAAAGCATGAGATCTCACCCTCCCTTCAGAGCGCTTCAAGGACACGCCTCTTTCAAAACACACAAACACACACAGCAGAGTTTGCAAAGCGTCACGAGGTGAGAGACGGCGTTAAACTACCTCATGTCTCAACATCACAATAATAATGAATTTAAACAACTTACAGAGCTCTTACTTGTACCACCTGTCTGCTGCAGATTTATTTCGGCATTGATAGTGTTGACATGGTAACGCATAAATCCGAGTCTGAGGATGTGAACTGCTCCGACTTGCCATCTAGTAATCCCGGTTATGACATGGCGTGAATGCAGCAAAAACTCGTTGTTTTGGTTCGGGAGGAGCTGTTAAAGACGGCTGCTGTCTGTTTGTGGTGCTCGGTGACTGTCTGATTACAATTCTGGATAGCTTCACAGAACGTGCTGATGACGTGTGATGTCTGCGCGAGCAGGGTGCGTGGAGGTATGGAAATACACGTTGACATACAGTACAATTCGGACCGAATGCAATGATTGGATGAAAAAAATGTTTGTTCCCGAGACTTCGACAGAAGATATATGTACATGTAATAATATTTAAGACCACTTCTATTGTTGATTGCTATCAGGATGTGAAGAGAGTTTCAACCAGAATAACAAAAAGTGTTTAGTGCCTACTGCCTACCCTACCTCTAATGCAACACAGCTAATGACAAATCTGTGGTCTCCCAGTGGTTTACATTGTGCAGAGATTAGCATTATGTGATTAATTTACAATAATAATAAAAAAAACTTGACTCATCCAGGCTGAATGAAGGACGCAAAATGAAGGCTGCCTTCAAAGGATCCCTCGACGGAGCCTGATGATGTGGCACCCGGGATAGCTTTAGTACACAGACTTCTGACTGAGAAGCAACATAAAATGGGGACACCCATTACTGGACATTATTAAGTGTACTCATTCAATCCCACAATTAACCTCAATAAAAAGTAGGTCTATAAAAAAAAAAAAAAAAAAAAAAAAAAAAAAAACTCTTCACTAATAATATTGATCTTTGAGAACTTTTCATCTCTAATACATTTTTTTCCTATGATCTGAAAGTTACTTTTTAGGTAATATACACTAAATACTTCACTGATTATTTAAGAGAGATTTAGTATTCAGTCTTGAATATTTTCTTTAAAGTCCGCATGAAATCAAAATGAACACTATTTTTGGTCTACGGTATTTATAAGGTTTTCTGAGTGCCTCAATGCAATACTCCACTGCTGCTTTGGTGGTTGCCAGGACCTTGTTAGGTGGTGGCTATCCTGGACCTGTGCGGTTGTTTATTAGCCTAAATCAAAAGAGCCCGAGTCTTTATGATAGTCTGGGATCTTGATATGACTCAGCTCCAGTCTTTTATGAAGTTTTACACC